ATATATTTATTTATTTATTTATTTAGACGCTTACACACAAAAGACGATATTACCAGAGAGTAGAGCTTTAGAAAGACCCCGGAGCACATAGAAGAAAAGGGGCGCACGCAAGAAGACCAACAATAGCTGCAGCAGAGAGAGAGAGAGAGGAGCCTAGATGAGCAACATCAAGGTGGCAGTGCGGTGTCGCCCGCTCTTCGAGAACGAGCGGCCAGCAGTTGGCCTGGACTTTCACCAGGGCCGCCGCATTCTCCTCGACAACAAGACCTACGACCCCGACTACATCTTCCCGCCAGCCGCAACGCAGGACGAGGTCTTCGCGGTGTGCCAGCCGATCCTGCAGAGCGTGAAGGATGGGCTCAACGGCACGGTGATGGTCTACGGGCAGACGGGCACCGGCAAGACGCACACCATGCTGGGCACGCCGGACCAGCCGAACGGCATCGCCCACCGCATGATCGCCTCGATGCTGGAGCACGTGCAGCAAAAGACACTCGAGGGGACGCAGTGTGCGCTGACGCTGTCGATGGTCGAGATCTACAACGAGAGGATGTCCGACATGCTGAGCGCGAATGGTGACGCGGAGGTGACGCTCGTCGGCGGCTTCCCAAAGGCGACGGTGAAGTTGACCTTGTCGCGTCTCAGCGATGCAAAGGCGGCAATCCAGCGCGGCCTCAGCTGGCGCCACACCGCCGCGACGCTGATGAACGAGCGCAGCAGCCGCTCGCACGTCGTCTTCATCCTCGACCTCGAGGAGCAGAACACGTACACCGACAGCGTAGACGTGGCGCACCTCTTCATGGTCGACCTCGCGGGAAGCGAGAGCCTCAAGAAGTCGCAAGTGAGCGGCACCGCGGCGAATGAGGCCGGTAAGATCAACAAGTCGCTGCTGGCGCTCAAGAGTGTCTTCCTCGCGCTCGCAAACTCCAACGAATCGACGCGGCCAGGCCACGTGCCGTACCGCGACTCCAAACTCACAGAAATGCTGCGCGACTCCATCGGTGGCACCGCGCGGACGCTCATGGTGGCATGCATCTCCGCCGTGGGCCGTGACATTGAGGAGACCAAGTCGACGCTTATGTACGCCGTGAAGGCGCGCTCCATCCGCAACGCGGCCAACACGGAGCGGGAGAAGCTGATGATACGCCTCCGCTCTTTTGAACTGGAGAATCAGCGGCTGCGCAATCGTCTGCAGGAACGCGTGGTGGAGCGTGGTGGCTACTACGTGACCCGAGAGGAGCACGAACGACTGCAGCAGATGGAGGAGGAGCACAGTACGCTTAAGGGGGACCTTGACGACCTGCTGCGGGAGCGACAGCAAAACGAGGCGCGGCAGCACATCGACGCCTCACAGAGCAACATATTGCAGGCGATGGTGGAGGAGAAGGAGGATGAGCTTCGGCGGTTCAAGCAGACGTACCACGAGGCCCTCATCAAGTTTGATGCGCAGGTAGGCGTGCTGCAGCGAGTCGTGCAGGATGCGGTGAACGGGGCCCATGAGGCTTCTCAACGTGGTGCGGAGGCTCTGCTGGAGCAGCTCCAGCAGTGGCGCGATAGTACACTCCAGGAGGCGACTCAGGGCGACCAGCAAGAGGAAGCAAATGATGGCGCATTGTTATTTACGCGCGACTACGAGGCGGAGGCTGCAGGTCTTGTGGCGCGCATCAACGACGGTGTCTCGAGCCTGACGCAGGACATACTCGCCGTGACGCGGCAGCAGAGTGCCACTGTGCTCGCGCTGCAGGAGCGCCGTCGGGCCTCGCTGGCGCTGCTGCAGCAAACGATACAGGAGCGGGTGGCGGAGGTGCTGGCGTCCCACACACGTGAGCAGTCCAACATTGATGCAGAGCTCGAGAGTGGGCAGCGCCTCTTTGAGAGCCGCATTGCATCGAGTGCTAAGCAGCCGCCACCAGCAGATGTGCTGCCGTTTCAACATATTGTGCGGAACGTGTGCCGTGACGCGGTGGAGAGTAGCCAGGAGTTCTTCCCGCCCGCGGGACTCTCCGATGAGGTGGCGGAATCGCTGCAACACATCAACGAGGCATTCCGTGTGAGAGCGGCGAGCGCGTCGCTGGGCGCGCTGCTGCAGATTGGGAACATACCGCCGCCCCGCCATTCCAATTCCTCACTGTCCACCAGCACAACAGCCACCAATGCCACGGCGGCTGTTGCTGCTGCAACGCCCGCTACGGGGTCGCCGCTGCTTCCTTTGGCGAACAAAGAGAAGAATCAGGCCTCAGGACCTGGTGGTGCTGGCAACGGCAGGCTGAAGCGGCTACGCACAAGCAGCGCGATGTCTGACACGCGACGCGCCTCTGCACGCTGCGAAAAGTGAGTGGGGCGCCCCCCCCCC